GAGGCAAAATGATGTATCATCACAATAGATCTTAAGTTGTGGTTGTCGGTTAGAGAAACTCCCATAGCAGTATTTTGTATTTTTATATACATTTTAGAGTTTATATTGTATCTTTGCATACACACAGAGTCTTATGGGATTTCTAAATACACAGAGTTGATATCCATGATTTAAAAGCTTTTCTTTATATTGCATATATGTTATTGCTTTATATTCAAACGAGTTCAGTTCAGTTCAGTTCAGTTCAGACCAGGTTTGTTCTTTCAGTTTCTTTCAAGCTTATGTCTTGTTTTAGAATTCTCCTCGCATACTCGTACATTCAATGTACTGATGCCATTTGGCCTGCATCTTTTTATGATGTAAATATAGGTAACCAAGATCAACATCCAGCTCATCGTTGATTCTAGTTGAGCTCCAGAGTTATTGGTAAGCCTCCTTGCTTCCAGAGGATCCCTTTTATTGTTTCAGTATTTTAGTTCATTAGGATGTCGTGGGTCTTGTCCCGACATCCATCTCAGTTCTAGAGGCTTCATAGATAGACAGTCAGTTAGTCATTTGTCTTTACCTTGTTATTGACTTATGTTCAGATTTGAGTTGCCACTTTGGCCAAGTTAAATATTTATTTATAAAACATTATGAGTTTAGTTTGAGACAGTTGATTACCTTGCATTTGAATTCTTTTCTTAATGCTTAAAGTCTTCCGCTGAGTAAGTAAGTCAGGCCAAGGGTTCACTTGGGGCCAGCAATGGTTCTCAAGTGTTAGTCCCGCCCAGGGTGTAGGCTCGGGGTGTGACAATAGATCGCATTCTAAGTTGGATAGATTGAACAAATATTAAAGAGTGTAGATACATAACAGACAACTGATTTGTTACTGTCTATATAGCCTTTTAAATTTGAATAAAATTGATGATACTTTGAAAAACTTGATACATGCAAATGATACATTAAGTAGTGTTTATGTATCAAGTACATTTATATTGAACATGATAAAATTAATCGAAGATTCAACAACATTAAGATTATGTATCAACACCTTAAATATGAATATGATACATTGCATAAAACAAGGATAAATGGAGAATCAAATACAATGGAGAATCATATGTATCAGGAAAAAAGGGTAAAAATAAAAAAATAAAACAATGGAGAATATGAAAAGTACCTAATTTAGTGGTTTAGATGAAAAATGTAACTAATAAGATTGTGGAGTGAAATTAGGAGAGATTAAAGGAGTGAAAAAAGAAAGGAAAAAACGTGGCCGGGTTAAGGCTAAAATACTTATGTATCCGGCTGACTTGAGAATTGGGTGAAAATAAGGAATTTTGGAAATATTTTAAAATAGTAGGAAATAACGAAAATTATAAAAAAAATAAAGATGTGTATATTGGTAATTAATCCTAATAAATAAGGTAGCAATTTATGACAAATTCAATATCACTATGGGAAGTGAAACAATTTATATCCCCCTCCTATGTACATTTGAGTTATTAATAAATATGATGGTGGTTTATGCCAAATCCTATATCACTGGGGGAAGTGAAAAAGTTTATGTCCCCCTCCTATGTACATTTAATTTATTAATAAATAGAGAAAAAAATATAAAGTGACATTAAGTTGTTCCCAATTTTTAAAAAGACATTTTAACTTTGTCAGTGTTCTATTACCCATAAAACATTTCAAAATCACAATAAATACATACTTTTTACACAATCTGCATTCTCAATACTTGAGCGTGAGTCTCACCCAATATAATTACATATTTTTTCCAACCCATTTAGTAAAAATTGAATAAAATCTTGACTCATTCACATTTTAATCATGACCCGCTCCATTTAACCCTAAACCCCTTTCAAATTTTGACTCTAATCTCTCTCTTTGATGATCAAAGCCCTAAAGCATTTCAATAGTCACGATAAATTTGTTTTGCGGTGATAATTTCCTGAATTATGGAGTTAAAACAAAGAAATGAAGGCTCACATGTTAATTGCTTCTTGATTTGAATGCAGATTTCGGTTAAAAAATATTATTTTTATATAGTAGTATTTTTTGAAAAATCATCGTCTTTATAGTGATTTGTTGTTATTTTCTTCTTCTGCTAGCTATTATTCATGCGTATGTTGTGTTAGTTTAGGACTGATTTGAATTTGAATGTCTCTTCATTGATTTAGTTTTGAAATTTGTATGCAATTGCACTTTCAAGATTTACAAATTAGTTGTTCTCATAACTTTTAATTAAAACAAAAAAAAATAAAAAAATTGAAGCTAGTAAAGCTAGATGAAAATTCCATTGAGGATGGAGAATTATTTTTTTGTTGTAGATGGAAAGCTCTACAACATATATCAATGGAGGTTTTGGAGAAGATTGGAAGTGGGTGTTTTAATAAAGAAGAAAATTCAAATTGTCAGTGCCACGTGTCATTTTTACACTGATTTGGGGGGTGTATTTTTACTCCTCCACGCGCTTATCAAATGTGAGAACACAACTGCTGTGATAATGGGTCAAGAGTGTTTATTTATTGTGATTTGAAATAGTTTCAAGGGGTAATAGGACGCCGGTAAATTTTAGGTGTCTTTTTGAAAACTCAGGACAATTTTAAGTGTCATTTTATGTCTTTTTTCTAATAAATATGGTAGTGATTTATGTCAAATCCTATATCACTATGGAAAGTAAAAGTTTGGGTGGATAAATTTTATTTTTAAAAAATCTATGAATTCGTTGAACAATACTGGAGGTGATCCCATCGTAGCTCCATATAAAAGTCCAACAATCTACTACACTATCTATATATGCTGCCTTAGGGAGGATGACAATTTTGATATAGTATATGTATTACTTAGTTTTAAAGTCAATAATCCGAAGTAGTATCTACATAGTTCCATTTACATCTTCGACTGTTCCTTAATTATCACTCCCTCCGTCCTAAAATAAATGGAAGTTATAGAAATGTCACTAGTTTAGGAGTTAATTACTTAGATTTTGTAATGTTATGAATCTTATTAATTTTTTCTGCGTCTAGATATGTATAAATACATGTATTTCGGGATACACAAGGTTACAATTATGTGTTATTTATTTTTGATACACTATATCCAAGTGGATTTACATATATCTAGAATATAGATCAAATCTCTCTCGCCACTCTCCTATGTGTTTGGTATCCCAAATACATGCGATCCACACAAGATACATACAGATACATGTATCTAGTAGTGTGATTCGCACGTACCTAGGACAGGGGCGTATCTAGAGGGGGTGCCATGGGTTCACGTGAACCCATACTCCCCTCTCTAGATCATATATAGTAGTGTTATATTTTAAGAAAAATATTTAAATATAGATGTGTGAACCCACATTTAAAGTATCAAATAATAATAATATGATGATTGGGTATACCTCTCTAAGTGAGGATATCAATTATAATCTTATATCTATCTTGTCTTTTTGAGTAGCAACTCTCCAAGTGGTTATCGATTACTTTTTTTAAAATCAATTTTTGGACTCATGGTCATTGAGAAATAGTGTCCAAACAACATCCGAAATAAAACTATTTATTACCCAATCTGGCCCAAAAGTGACCGGATATAGGATTAACTTTCCTAATTGGCCCCTCAGTCATCTCGTTTTCCTTCTCTTCTTCCATTCTTTTCACCATAAGTGGTTATCGGTTACACTTTTGGTGTTTGAACTAATTTTTTTTGTTTTTTTCCTTAAAATTTTCAAAAATTTTAAGTGTGTTACATTGAAAATTCCTAAATAATTTAGCACTGTAAATTTTTTATATAATTAAATCAAATGTGTGCATTAAAATTTAAAACTAGTAGTATTATATATTTTGCACCTATAATTTTTAAAGTTTAATGGTTCATATTAAGAACTTAAAAGTCAAATTGATCAAATTTATATTTAAGATGTATTTTTTTCGTAATCGTGCACCCATTTTGCCGAAATCCTGGATACGCCTCTGACCTAGGATACATGACTATCTCGCTCGCTTCCCTCCTCACTCCCCATCCCCCCCCCCACCACCAAATATTTCAAAACTAAATTGGAAACTCAACAAATTATCCCTATAAATAAGACTCCTTGTAAACAGTAATAGTCACGCAATAACACCATTTTGACTTTCATTAGCCATGCACTCTATGACTTTCTCCCAATTCACTCCATCGATTGTATGGGCGTCACCTCCCCCTACAACCACCACCATACCCCGTTGCAAATCATTGCAAATGGTTTCTCCGGTCTCCGCGGTGGCTTCATCACCTATAGGGCCGCCTCCATCACGCCACCACGTAACTCACTCAATGCCACATGAAAAACTAGAAGTCTTCAAGTCATTAGAATCTTGGGTTTCTGAAAGTCTCCTTGATTTTCGCAAGCCCATAGAGAAATGTTGGCAGCCTAGTGAATTTCTCCCTGACCCTTCTCAAGGGTTCGATGGATTTAACGAAGAGGTTTGGGCACTAAGACAACGAGTTTTAGGGCTTCCCGACGAATATTTTGTTATGCTTGTGGGTAATATGCTAGCTGAGGATTCATTACCTACTTATCAAACCATGATTAATACGTGGGATGGAGTGCGTGATGAGACTGGGTCTAGTTCATGTCCATGGGCAATTTGGACTCGGTCATGGGCGGCTGAGGAGAATCGACATGGTGATTTACTACGAACTTACATTTATCTTTCGGGCAGAGTTGATATGATGATGATTGAGAAGACAATGCAATATACTATTCGAGCTGGAATGGTAATTGTAATTATCACAAAAATAAACTATCCCTTCTGTTATATGCATTTTGTACTCTTAAAATAAACTAACGATATCGTGTTTGTATATCTTATTAGGACAATGGAACAGAGAACAATCCATATATGGGCTTTGTGTATACATCATTTCAAGAGCGAGCAACATTTTTGTCGCATGGCAATATGGCTAGGCTAGCTAAAGAGGCCGGAGACCCTGTACTATCCCGTATATGTGGAACCATTGCAGCAGATGAGAAGCGGCATGAGAATGCCTACATAAAAATTGTTGAGAAATTGCTTGAAGTGGATCCAAATACAACTATGTTAGCCATTGCGAACATGATGAAGAAGAGAATTGTGATGCCACAACATCTCATGTATGATGGGCAAGATTCGAATTTATTTGAGAACTACTCCGCCGTTTCCCAAAGGCTAGGGGTTTACACAACTCGTGATTATGCTGAAATAGTAGAGTTTTTTATAACACGATGGAAATTGGAAAAGCTTGAAGGCTTGACAGGGGAAACGAGGAGTGCACAGGATTTTGTGTGCAAATTTCCTTACAGTTAGGAAGTTGGAAAATCGAGCCAAGAAAGTAGAGCCATGTCGAGTGAAATTTAGTTGGATTTTCAATAAAGAAGTGAGTGTTTAGATGAATTGATCATTTGAAAGAAGTATGTAAACCAAAAGCTTATCCTTTCACTAATAGCCTTTTTGGCTAAGCTATATTAATAAATCTATATTGATACGTCCTAGTGAAGTCTTGGAAGGGTAGAGGATGTAGCAAACCTTTACCTCTATTTTGCGGGGTAGAAAAGTTGTTTCAGATAAACCCTCAGCTCAAAAAAGTAGGAAAGTAAGAAAGGAAAAGAGAAAACAAAATAACAATGCACCAAATAAGTGTAGCAACAAATATTAATACACGGAGAAAAAACTATGAGATATCTAAATCATACTACTAGAAGTACAACAACATACTCGACTACCTATTACCCTTTTGTCTTAAACTCCCAACCCTCGACCTTCAAGAAGGTTTTTTCTATCTGGGGTCATGTCCTCAATCAGCTGAAATTGTGTCATATCCTGTCTAATCACCAACAATCAGTAGTATGACCTTGAAATTACAAAGCAAATTCTTATTTGTTTTTTAACATTACAAACAGCTTTACACAGTGAAGTCACAAGAGATCACACAAAATTCATTCTGTTCGGAATCTGTATGCCTGCTCTCTTTAAAAGTTCAGCAGAGGCATGCTTGGCCATTGATAGAACGTCTTCCTGTGCAGAAAAAAATTCCAATGTGACACTCAATTCACAGAATACATATTTAACCTAACAAAGTATATGAAACAGTATGATTATAAGTATGCAATATATACCTCGTCTACGGTTAAGATTTTCTTATCTTTCATAATCCAACAGCCGTTGCACATAACAGAGACGATATTCTCACTTCTCATGCAATAAACAAGGCTGGAAATGCTGCAAAAGTCATTAAAAGAAACTAGTATAACATTCTGGTGACCACTAAAAAGGCTGATATATCATAAACCGGAATAATTGAAAGTACAATATATCGAATGAAACCAATAAGAGAGAACAAGCTTACCGACTCCATACAAATTTACAAGGATAGTGTTATCCACAGATTGCTAACAGCTTAGTATAGTATTATATGTAGTTCAACGATATTCCGAGGTTTTATAGCTACATGGGCAACAAGTAAAACTAGAACGAAAGACGGAGGAAATTGAAATTATGATGTTACTGTTCCACAATTGAAATACTTGCAAAGATGAAAGTTTATGCACTGGCTAAGCTAGGTGGCACAGTTTCTCGAGTTACATTATTTGTGCTAGAGGGCATAAAAATTAGTACGAGTGGGAACTGAGGAACTGTGCCAATCAATATGAAAATCTAAGAAGCTCAACTTGTTAAGCAGGATATATGGACTGATTTAAATAGTTTGATATTGCACCAAAGGGTGTGGCCTAGTGGTTAATGAAGTGGGTTGAGAACCATGAGGTCTCAAGTTTAAATTCCCCCTGAGAGAAAAAATACTAGGTGATTTCTTCTCATCTGTCCTAGCCTTGGTGAACAAAGTTACCTTGTACTTGTTGCTGGTGAAGTGACACGTATCCCGTGGAATTAGTCGAGGCACACAGAAGCTGGCCCGAACACCACGGTTATCAAAAAAATAGTCTGATATTGATGGAACTTTTAGAAAATGCTTAGCACCAGAATGCATAAAACAAAATCAAAATGATTCACATACCAGTCATGAATTGGCATCATGGACCAAGAAGAAGGATTGATCACAACGATATCAGCCTGCAAAGTAGTTCATAATGAGTAAACCTGTAAGATGAAATCGGACAGCAGGAAAATCTCATCATAGATAGAATCAAGGTGTCCAACCTTCTTCCCAACCTCGAGCGAACCTATTTCCTTGTCCCAAAGTAGAGACTTGGCGCCATTTATTGTGGCCATCTTGAGGATTGTTTCAGCAGGCAAAGCTGTAGGATCAGTGGTTCCCGTGGAGAATACTTCACGCCCTTTGTTGATCAAAGAGGCCAGATACATCTCATCAACTACACCAAAATTACAACGGAGCATCACAAGAAATGTAGAAGTTCAAGAGACAGATAACATCGAGCATATGAATTTCGCTAATGAGAAGCAAGATAAATGGACAATACAAGGAAGCTGCTAAAGTCATTCTTGGATAGATGCGATATATTAGTAACATTTCTAAGCAATACAAAGTAAATGAATACCAAATATAGAAATGTGCCGGTAACACAGTACCATAGGGAGTTTAGACAATTATAACAGGCAATATATCAAGAATCGCAACACATCAATATATACCAATGCTCATTCTATTATTTGATGGTGCACCGTCTGTACCCAAGGATACACAAACACCAGCGCTGAGCATTTCCTTAATGGGGGCAAATCCAAGCATTCTCATTGCAGCAGCAGGACAATGCGATACTTTGACTCCAGCCTTTGCGAGACAATCAACCTGACAGAATAGCAGTGAACAAACAAAAATTTGAAAAATGGCTTATTATAGTAACAACTAGATATAATAATTATTTGAAAGAAAATAAACAGTAAACATTCTTGGTGAAAAAGAAGCGGCAATAAACATTATTTCCCAGGGAAGTCGAGATACTTTTAGCACTGCAACAAGACTGAATTTCGAAGTTGTATTGAGAACTAGTTGAGTTTTGCCCGACAATCTTTAGTTTACTTGATATGTAATGAGTGTATAATTATTCATAGAAGGGGCAATAAGAGCTTATGTTACTCTTTTCTTATCTCCGCATGTGAAACTGCCATGTTAAAAGAAACATTTCATCATCGTTTTCTTATTTAGATCTTTGCAAAGAAGAACACTCCCCTTCTTTAGGATGAGCAAAGACAGAAGACAAACACGAATTGGCATAACTTAAATACTTTTCTTGCTCAGGAAATGAACCAATCAGGCTTATTTAGTCAGCTTTCAGCAGCAAAAATTGAGGAACTTCAATTTCAAACAGTTAGCTGGAATAATTAAGAGATCATGGTGGTCGAACTGTGGGTTCTATCAAGGACGATGGTGAGGTGGAAATAATGGGGATAAAATGCAAAAATAGTGACACCAAGAATTTTACGGGGAAACCCTTTTGAATAAGGGGAAACCATGGGACAAGAGGAGCAAACTAATCCACTATAACAAGGAATATTACAGTGGTAATCACAAGTACAATACTTAATAGACTATTGCACATTCAAAAAAGAAAGAACAATCTTTTTGTTTTTTAACCTCACGATAGAATAGCTCACACTCTATTTTTCTTAACAAAATATGTTTTTATACAGTCTGGTATATCTCACTCTGCTCTCTAATACTCAGATATATTTATCTCACCTCACTCAATGTGGTGCATTAAACAAATAAGCTGTTGAGCTCCTTTTATAGGGAGAAAGTTGTCCATGATGGTGTCATGTCATCAGTGACATCACAATGACCACAAAAAAATCAGACTTGCGGATCTATTCTTCGACTTTCTCTTGCGAAATAAATATATGGTTGACAAAGTTGCAAGATTTGGATGCTGCAATATGCAGCAAATGTAGATTTTCTCACCTGAATCATGTAATATGGGGCTTGACCACACAAATCTCCCCCTCCAGTCCCATGCACTTAAAAGAGGTATTTCTATCTTCTTAGTTAGTACTAATGCCCACAACTTCTTTGCATAACCCAAACTTATCTTTTGGTATCACCTTGGTCAACATATCCACATAATTTTCACTTGTGTGAACCTTTTTGACATGAAATGATTCACTCTCCACTTGCTCATGAATCTAATTATATCTCAAGTCTATGTGTTTTGTTCTTTTATGGTACATGGAGTTCTTGCTCAAGTCTATTGTACTCTGATTGTCACAATAGACAGCATACTCTATTTGATGCAATCAAAGTTCTTGAAGGAATCGCTTGAGCCATATCATCTCCTTGCCAACTTCAGTAACCACCATTTTCTATTATAGATCTCACCTGTCATATTGGCAAATGTGTATCCCTTAAGATTGGATCTGATCCTCCAAACCACAAGCATTCATTTGAAATTCCTCTCAGATACCTGAGTATCCACTTCAGGTTTCCCAATGCTCTTTTCCTGGATTTTCAAGAAACATGCTAAGGGCATCTCCAACCCAAACACCAAATTTATACAGCACTATTTTAGTGTAAATCAACTCCAACCCACTGCACCAAATTTTATACCAAAAATAAATATTTTTCTCTCTTCATTATTATATTATTATTTCTTATTTCATTTATATTTTCTTATTTTATAAAACAAATTCTTTCTAAAACATTCACCATATATAATTCATATTATTTTCTTTTATAGTTGTTTCATATAAAACTATTTGTTTGAATGTTTATTATTTTCGGTTATTTTTAAGTACATTGTATTATTTGTTTAATAATTTATCTATTTGCATTTTTATTTTTGTGAAGGTTAATTGTAGTTGTATCCAAATATAATTTATACTAGAATTAACATAAATTTAATTTTTTAGAAAAAGGCATATATAGAAATATTAATTTATAAAAAAAGCTAACTTTTATATCCAAAATTAATATTATAAAAGCCCCCAAGGCCTAGCTCAAGTGGCAAAAGGTGGAGGATTTGTGGCTTAGGTCGCAGGTTCAAGCCCCACACCATGCAAAGCGAAGCCTGGTATTTAAGTGGAGAAGGGTAGAGGGGCGGGCCCATTATCCACCGAGTTTTAGAAAGGCTGTGATTGGTCCAAAGGGCGGGTCACAGACGGATTTCTCGGTTATCAAAAAAAAAATTAATATTATAAAAATATTACATAAAAATAATTAAATATAAAAGAGATTTAATTAAAACATACAATTTATATAATGTTTAATTAAAATTTTTGTATAATGAAATAATATTAAAGTATTCAATAAAGTGAATTGGTGTGATGAATAGTGTTACACCAAATTTGGGGTAACACTATTCACACACCAAAATGGTGTAAAATTTGGTGTTGGGTTGGAGCTCCAAAACACCAAATTTTACACCATTTTGGTGTGTGAATAGTGTTACACCAAATTTGGTGTAACACT